ACAGTCATGGCTCCCCACTCCCACCCCAAGGATTCTGACAGCTGTAGTTACTTACGTTTGCTGAGAGTTTTTAGGAGACCCCCTTTATTTCCCTCACAGAGCTACAGTTCCCAGAGTTCCCTGGGAAGTGGGATTGGTTGATAAACAACTCTGAGAGGCAGGAACTGGCCCAAGGGCACCCAGTGAGCTTCTTGGCAAAGTGGGGATCGGAGCTTCAATTCTCTAAGCACTAAAGAACACTGCCTCTCAGTTGTAGCTGTAAGAGCTGAATAGGGGGTCTCCTAAAAAATTATGAGCACTCTTAAGGTGCTTCAGGTTAAGAACAGTTTCAGGTTAAGAACGGACCTCCAGAACGAATTAAGTTCTTAACCCAAGGTACCACTGTACAGCTTCCAGAATTCTTTAGGAGGGGGAGCAATGACTGTTTAAAGTGGCATGTATTATTGTTCTGTGTTGGGGGGATATGCTATATGCGGAAACCCTTCTAACCCCTGGATCCAGTGTTAAAACAAGCAAATTCCCGGAATAGCCAGGCTACCTTCCTAGGGCAGCGATAGCCTAGGTGATGGGCCATTAAGGGAACAAAGTAAGTGGACTGGCACTGGCTGGTAGTTCGAAAGACAAAGGCCAGAGTGGAGAGTTGAGTGGTGTGAGCTGGAAGCTGGAAGCAACAGGCTGGGAAGCCAGAGAGGGAGAGGGATGCTTGATTTCTGTTTGAATCCAAGGCTGTAGTTATTAGAATCTTTTGGGGTGCTAACGCTGTGAACCCCTCCATCGCAGGCTCAGGTTTTTATGTGTGTAAATAAGCCGGATATCAGAAATACACCACAGCCTCTGTTGTGCCTCATTCCAAAGGAAACACAAACCCTGGTAAGTGTCTGGAACCCCTGAAATCTTGTACAGCTCGGAGATGGGGGTGGCACCAATCCACTATCTTTGTTCCCTTAATGGCCCATTACCTAGGCTATCACCTCACTAGGGAGGTAACCTAGCTATTCCAGGAAATTATATTTTAACACTTTCTAGATCCAGGGGTTAGAAGGGTCTCGGCATACAGCCTACTTCCTCCCTTGTTCTGATCTGGGACGGTTCTTCTTACACACTTATTTCCCCCAGTGATATATAGGCTGGTTCCTCTGTCAATAGAAAACTCTGCGGCCATTGAAGTTAATGGGTCTGCACCGTTTATAAAAGGTGAGGCCCGATTAAGCACACAGAGCCACATTCAAACGCCACTTGAAGCGTTTGGAATCTGCACTTGGCTGTCATTTTATTGCATGATCATTTCCCATTATCTCGACGGCTTTATGTAAACTGCTGTTGGAAGCCAATGTAATTAAAGACCCAGCAATGCCATAATGATAATTCCTGTGAATAGGAAGTCTTCCCTTTACCCCCTCCAAATCCACTTTAAATGAGCAATTTCTTTTGACCATCATAAAGGCGGACCTGACTCGACTTCAAGGTCTCCCTTCCCCGCCTCCCACTGACTCTCTTTTTGATCATGTTTGTAATGGCAGAACTATTAAAATAATGACTTTTCTTGAGGATTCCAAATACCTCGCTCTCTCTGTTTGACAGCTCCTTAATTGAAGAAAGTGTGTGGCTCCCCCACCCTTAAATGAACCACCAGCTTATTGTGAAGCGTTAACCAAAGTATTTGAAGAACTGAAGCTTAAGGGTCTCACTGAAAAGTTCGCTAGATGATCTTGAACCAAGTCAACTTTCCTGTGCCTTAGCAATGGGACACAAAAAGGGTGGCAGAGGTCAAAAGGGGCGGTAGCTCAAGCAGTAGAGCATCTGCCATGCATGAAGAAGGTCCCATATTCAACTCCCTACATCTGGGACTGGGCATGTACCCACTCTGAAATCCTGGAGAGCTGCTGCTGGTCAGTGTTTCCCAAACTCAGGTCTCCAGCTGTCCCATCCCACCATCCCTGACCACTGGTTCTGTTGGCTAGGGATGATGGGAATTGTAGTCCAACAATAGCTGGAGACACAAGTTTGGGAAACTCTGGTTGTAGACAATACTGGGCAAGATGTGCCAATGGCCGTTCAGAACAGGGACAGGGGACTAGTAGATGTTGTTAGACTACAACTCTCATATTCTGCAACCATTGGCCATGCTGTCTGGGGCTGGTGGGAGTTGGGCGGAGGCCAGCAACATCCAGAGGGCCACAGCTTCCCCATCCTTGACTCATTGCGCAGTCACTTATTAGTTTGATGGTGGTGGTCAATCAGAAGAGCACCTTCACTATTACCTCCTGACCCAAGAATCTGTGGTCTTTGGGAGAAGCCCTCCTCCTGGTCCCATCAGTAGATATAGTATGGAGAATGGGGACTTCTTAGTGGCAGCACTTAGAACTCCCAAGGGAAACCAGGTGTTCCCCTTTTTTACCTGCTTTCAGGAAACATATACAGACTTCCTTTATTCATCCAGGCTTTTTGTTTCATGAAGGTTTTACACTGCTGGTTCTAACATGTGATATGTCATGGTGCTGTGTGAAATTGCTTTTTATGTTGAAATATTGTTGGGAGCCTCAAACTTTGGGAAGCAAGTTTGAGTTCTGCATATGAAATATTATCATTAACAATAATGCAAAATGATGGCTGCAATGCTGTACACATCAATACACATCAATATGGCCCACTGCTGCACAGACCACCATGGAAGCAAAGGAAGCTGCCTTATACTGGACCAGACCATTGCTCTACCTAGTGGAATGTACACTGACTGGCAGTAATGGCTCTCCAGGGTTTTCAGGCAGGTGATAGCAATTGAACCTGCAGCCTTCTGCATGCAATGCAGAGGCTCCTACCCAGAGCCACAGCCCTCACCATTCCCTGGCTCTGCATAGCACACTTGGGAGGACTCTCTTCCAAAAGCCAAGCTGTCAAAAACAAACAAACACAGAGAAGCGGCATTTGTGGACCATGCCACCCCCTTTCTCTTTTTGGTCCTCTCTTGCCCATCTGAACCACATCCTACCTCGCTGCAGCCGCAGCCAAACTCTGCAGCCCTGCTCGGTAATGTGGTTTCATATTCAGAATCCTGCTCAAATGTGATTTACAGCAAAGAGGCGGCTGGTAAATGGCCGGCTTTATTTTCGGCACGCCAGTTTCATATTTGCTTTTATTGTTTGCAGTAAAAACCTTTTATTCTTTCCATTTTCCACCCGCTGTGCCTGCTGCCCGCGTGCTCCCTGGTCTCCCTTCATTTGTCATTTCCCATTTAATCTGCTCCAGTTTGCCTCTCCCCCCCCAACCCCCTCCAGCCTGTCCCTCCTCTGTAGCTGTCAGATTCTCCTCCTCCCCCACCCCGCCAATGTCATTGCTGCAGAAGAAAAATTGGATCATATTTAACTTGATATCAAATCCAAACTCTTGATGACTTTTTGAAGGGCGTTGGAGCACGAGGGACAGAGCACCGAGTTGGAGGGTGGGGGACAAGCAACTGCACGCTATCCTAGGTTTGGCATGGAACGCAGCCTAGGTATTGTTTTGAAATACTCAGGGCTCCCCGGGCACCATGCCCAGTCCTAAAGACTGCCCTGCATTCTCATGAAATATGAGCAAGCCAGGAAGGCATCTGAATTTTGTGTTTAAACTAAGTCAGGAGGGCCTGCACTATCCATATTGTTGTGGGGTTTCGGAGTCTGCCTGGATGATACCCCGAGTCCCTTCCCAGCCTTGGGGACCTGCACCCAGGGAGGGTTAAAAATCTAATGGAGGAAATTTCTAAACAAGTCAGACAAGTTTATTGGTAAGATAAAGATTTTGGCTGGCACGTTAGTGCTCTCATCTGCATCCTGAATGAATGAGCAATGTAGTCTTGGAAGCAGGCTGGAAGCTGGAGACACAGAGGCATGCTTACTCTGTGCAGGATCCAAAGCTAGAGAAGCAGGATCTGCTGAGGTGTCCCTCCATCTTATGCTTAGGTTGCATATATGTGTAAATAAAACCATAGATCCTAAATACACCACAGTCTCCTTTATTCCAAGGAAACTGAACCCTGGGTAAGAGCTTGGAACCCCTGGAGCAGGGGTCAGCAACCTTTTTCAGCTGTGGGCTGGACTATATTTTTTTTGGGGGGGGGAATGAATGCATTCCTATGCCCCACAAATAACCCAGAGATGCATTTTAAATAAGAGGACACATTCTACTCATGTAAAAACACGCTGATTCCCGGACCGTCCGTGGGCCGGATTGAGAAGGCAAATGGGCCGCATCCAGCCCCCGGGCCTTAGGTTGCCTACCCCTGCCCTGGAGTCTCTCAGCCCATGGAAATGGAGGTGGCGTGTAACCCCATTTTGTACCAGTTTTCGGACTTCCCAAGCTGGCGCATGTGATCTTTGGGACCCGGGGCCCAAGCCCGTCTCCTCAGCAGTAAACTTCCCGCTGACTTTTAAAGGGAGCTCGCTTCCGTCTTAGTACGCTAAGGGTCACAAGTTTTGATCGCCAGGCCTTCTTCCGATTTGCATATAGATTACACACACATATGTATGTATATCTCAAGGATTCACGTTGCACACTCTTAATGCTGGGCTATATATTTGTCTCTGTTGATAGACAAGCAAAACGGGAGCAGCATGGCAAATCAGTATTCCACCTGGGGTCTGGGGATCATCGCAGGCTGTATTGTCACTAAAGCTCAGCAAGTGTGAAGCTGATCGGTGCCTGGTTGGGAAAATACCAAGCACTCCACAGGAGCTTTTTAAAGGAAGCATAATCAAGCTCTGTTTTATACACTCATAACCGTAAACACTTTCTCCCAGTGTGGATATTAATGTAGCCCAAACGGTGGCACCCATTCACTGACAGAGGGCACCAGCAGTCTGGAGTCAAACCTGACATTTTGCAGAAGTACACAAGAATCTTGGGGTGCGGAGCATAAAACCCTAAGGGAGGGGGGCCAAAACAGTTCAATAAGGACTGGGCATGCTCCATGGGAACAGCATGCTAGCTTATCTCTTGAGAGGATGGAAAGCCTGAGGGCTTCTGGATGGCTCAGTTGGTTAGAGTATGGCGCTGGTAATGCCCAAGATTCAGGTTCGATCCCCATATGCAACAGCTGCATAGTCCCTGTTTGATTATTGAAATATACTCGGAGTCGAGTGTGGATTTCATGCTCTTTATTCAGCTCATAGTAGTGAGGAATGAATGTTCCCCCAAAATATCTGCTTTAGATACATTATTTACACAATGGGCCGCACGTGATTGGCTAATTCTGGGATTCTCCCGTGGGCCAATCAGGTTGCGTATTCACTTCCACCTGGAGCTGGATAGGGTGGCTCCTGTGGACCAATCAGACTGCTGCATTGTTCTAGGACCAATCAGACTGCTGCATTCTGAATCCTATTGTTCTAGGACCAATCAGACTGCTGCCTTTTGGATCCTATTCAACTCAGTACATAACAATGATCAATTACTCATTTTGGGGAGCAGCCACAAAACGTGGGGTTTGCGGCACAAAACAGCACTAAACTAGCACTAAACTTTGGCATCAGTTTTGGGGTGGTGATCCAGAATTTCGGGCTCACACATTAATGAAGGTCCAGTTAGGGAAGCTGCTGGCCCCTCTGACACTCTCCAATGGCCCCTCTGCCTTTGCGTCTGAAAATTATGATTGCTGCAGGACAGGCTTCCTCAAACTCGACCCTCCAGATGTTTTTGGTCTGCAACTCCCATGATCCCTAGCTAGCAAACCAGTGGTCAGGGATGATGGGAACTGTAGTCTCAAAACATCTGGAGAGCTGAGTTTGAATAAGCCCGCTGTAGGGTGTCAGAAAGAGACCTCGCTTCTCCCAAACAGCCAGCCCTGTACCTTAAAAGGCTAAGGCCAGCTACTCCACTTTTAGCTGTTGCTTGCTGATGTGCTGCAACAAAACTGTCAGGTCCGGGATGTGTGTGGAAAGCCTCCCTGTGGCCTGCAGCTGGCAGCTGGCCCCCTCGAAACTGATTGAAAGTCTGACTGACTCAGCACACACCGGCATGCATTCCTGCAGCTCGGGCGCAAAAACCCAGCATCTGTTCTCCAAGCTGCCACAGAAAGCAAGGGCTGGGATGTTGCCATGCAAATGGAATGACATGAGGCTCTCAGCGGAAAGGCCACCTGCCCCATCAGAGGAGGCACCTTGGAAATGCAGTCGTAAAGAAACCGGGCTGGCAGGGCTGGGGAAGGAGAGAGGAGGTTGCCTTCCTTTATTCCAGTGCTCCTTTATTCCACAGAGCACAAATTTGGAGCTTCAGACAGATGCAGTAAGAAGGTGCCTTATAATGAGTTGAACCATTGGTCCATCAAGCTCAGTGTAAATGTTGGTGGAGTCGCTTCAGTAACACAGATGGAATCCAGGGAGAAAAGAAATTGATAATACTTTACTGGGTAAACTGTACAAAAAATGTATATAATTTGAGGGTTTTGTCTTTTAGGGCTGGCCTTGTTTGTAGCAGGAAGATATTCAGCAACACAGACAGGGGGAAATGACCTGAAAAACAGCCAGTCATGGAGGGCGTTACCTTGCCAAGGATCATGCCAGCCTGACTAGTTGCTAGGTAACAACTCCTCTACTACTTGGCTGTCTGGCTGTCAACAGGATTAACCCTTAGATGGCTAACTGAATGATCCCTGCTATTGTACCTCCAACAATACCTTCCTATTATCTCTCAGTGGTTCTGATTCTGTGAGACTGTGTTTGTTATTAGAGTAAATAATGCTTACTTTTTCTCAGTGCGGGTATGGTGCAATGGTTAGAGTGTGATAGTAGACTGGAGAGAGCCAGTTACTTTGGTCAGCATGAAACTCTCTGGTCTCTTTGGCTCAGTCATGGCGCTTTTCCTTCTTAGAGGAAGAACAGGGTACAAAGGTAAATAAATAGGTAGGTAGGTATAGATAGATGATAGATAGATAGATAGATAGATAGATAGATAGATAGATGATAGATAGATGATAGATAGATGATAGATAGATAGATAGATAGATAGATAGATAGATAGATGATAGATAGATGATAGATAGATAGATAGATAGATTTGAGAATCTAGGCCAGGATAGTCTTGCAAAGAAGAACTATGGAGGAAAATACTCTAGGAATGACACCCCTTTACACACACACACACACACACACACACACACACACACTTCATTGAATGACAAATTATAGCAAAAACAGATATTATCACATTGATGCAAAGAATGATCTCCATTATATTGATGCGTCAATCTGCATTATACTGATGTGTCAATCCAACTAGACCCATTCAATTCCTGCATTTCATTATCAAGATAATAAAAACAACAATTAATTACAACTTCAAAATGTTGCTCTCAATCTACCGGAATGCTCCATTGTTCTCTTCAAAGTGTTAATATTTCCAAAGGTACCTTTGTGATTAAATTTGAGAAGGTTGTGAATCAGTTCCAATTTTCATAATCTGTTCTTAGCTTATTTAGACTTTCCCTTCCTTTGTGAAATCATCTTACCAAATGAATAAGCTATACCATATTAGGAGGGTTCCAGGAGGCTGCCACATAGAAGATGGAGCAAGCTTGTTTGGGGCTGCACCAGAGGGGAGGACTCAAACTAATGGACTCAAATGACAAGGAGATTCCAAGTCAACATTAGGAAGAACTTTCTGACGGTAACAGCTGTTTGACAGAGGCAACGGACTCCCTTGAAAGATGATGGGACTCGACTTCCTTGGAGGTTAGAGGGCCATCTGCCATGGATGCTTTAGTAGTTATTCCTGCCTTGCAGGGCATTGGAATAAATGATTCTCTGGGGTCCCTTCCAACTCTAAAATTCTATGATTCTATGAGATATAGTTTTATTTACACATGTATATACAGGCTGAGCCTAAAATGAGAGGACTCGCAGCATTAACACTCCAACAGACCTCATTCCTCCATTAGCTTTGTAAGGTCAAAACCATAGCCTTGCATTCAGTACAAGTCAGGCTAGGGACGTGGGCGGCACTGTGGTCTAAACCACTGAGCCTCTTGGGCTTGCTGATCAGGAGGTTGGCGGTTTGAATCCCCACGACTGGGTGAGCTCCCATTGCTGTGACCCAGCTTCTGCCAACCTAGAAGTTCAAAAGCACACTAGTGCAAGTAGATAAACAAGTACCACTATGGTGGGAAGGTAAAAGCTGTTTCGGTGTGCTCTGGCTTCTGTCATGGTCCTCCATGCACCAGTAGTGGTTTAGTCATGCTGGCTACATGACCCGGAAAGCTGTCTGTAGACAAACGCCGGTTTCCTCGGCCTGAAAAGCAAGATGAGTGCCACAACCCCACAGTCGCCTTTGACTGGACTTAACCGTCCAGGGGTCCTTTACCTTTTACCTTATCTTACAAGCCAAGCTGCTTTGCCTCTTCTCAGCCCCAGCTAAGAGGACCCCTGATCTATTGCTCTTTTACACTCATATTTACATGCACTTCCAGTCAAGGGAGGGTGGGAAAACCTGCCCCCTTTTGCCTAAGTTAGCTGGCTGCAGCTAGTACTTTCTGGGGCAATCTGTCACCTCCTGCACTCTTTAGTCATGCAAAGAGATGTTTAACATACCTTTGGCTGGAGACAATAATATAACAACTGACTACTTTTGCAGGCTCTTTCTCAACAGAATCTCATCTTACTGGTGTGAAATCACATGCATGGAAGGGACCTGAAAAAAGTCAAGAATGCTACCCTTTAACCATATAAGAATATTATTGTATGAGCCAAAACCCACCCCACCCCCCAATTCTATTGGCCGTGGAAGTTCATAGAATTGTAGAGTTGGAGGGGACCATGGGGGTCCTCTAGTTCAACCCCCTGCAATGAAGGAATCATTTGCCCAGAGTAGGGCTCGAACCCCCAACCCTGAGATTAAGAGTCTCATGCTCTACCGACTGAGCTAAGTGGGACCAGGGAAGTTTCCTTAAGCTGTTTGCTTATGTATTTCATACCATTTCCAGATAAATTGATTCCCAACTTACATCTAAAATACACACTAGGGTTGTAATTGGTGATCCTGGGCTCCCAGCTCCAGACGGTGGGGGCACAGAGAGAAAGCTGCAGATGGACCCAGGGTGATGGTTGATGGGTTAAGGTGCCCACCGACCCCCAAAACCACCCCATTCATTGATCTGATCATTCTTTCGACTTCACCCTTTGAGGCTGGGATGGCTGCATCCTTAACGAGACGCTAACCCAGCTTCACTTGGGCTCTGAAGTTAACGCAAGCTGTCAAACAAATTCTTCTCGGAGCCATTTCGGTTTATAGCGGCATGAATGCAGGCGGGTGATGGAAGCCCTCCATTGCTCTTCCACGACAGCACCCATTTCCCCCCACATCGCGAAGATCTTAATACAATTAGTGCATCCATTTTCAATTAGGAGGCCATAATGCAGCTCATCTCCATCTATTTGATGCATGGTAATGCAGATTCTCGAGAGACAATGCCGCCACTTTACGGAGTGCCTGCGAATGAAAAGGGAACATTAATTGAATATTCTGTTGAAACCACCTTCAATTAGTGCCTCGGAATTTTTGCGCGGCACATTCATCATTGCGGCAATTCCAGACCTGCGCGCAGTATGTTTTGGGGGCTCTGCGGTGTGCACGCATCCCATTCGCACGCATCATTACTCTGAATGCAGCAAATTTATTTGCTAATGAGGCATTAGCATTGTTCAAGGAACCGAGATCTGCAAAGATGGGCCACAGAATTACAATGCAAAAACAGGGGAGTGAGCGAGGTACTGTGGTCTGATTTCCCCTTTATCAAAAAAAATTAAAAATCTGGAAGACTAGCAGTGATAATAATCATAGCTTAGTGGCGTGGGAGACCATGTGATGCAGAACGGCCCTGTTTCAAGTACCAACACTGCCTAATAATAACAACAAAAATAATAATAATGGAGCTTAGGCTGTTTCATGCAGGCAGGTGAAAAATACATTTGTTTGTTTATTTATTTATTTAGTTAGTTAGTTAGCTTGCACCCCACCTTTCCCCCAAGGAGCTCAAAGTGCTGTACATAGTTCCCCACCTTCCCATTTTATCTACACAACAACCCTGTGAAGTAGGCTAGGCTTGAGTGAGTGAGTGACTTGCCCAGTGTGTTTCCTGGCTGAGTGGGGATTTGAACCCTGGTCTCCCAGGTCCTAGTCGAACACTCTAACCACTACCCTACATTTCCACTTTGTGGCAATGGAAAGTTTCCCAGGAAGGGACTGGTCTCTCTTCTGTACATGGGCTACAGTGAATTGAAATGCAGTTGGTGGGTCTCTGTTGTTGTTGTTGTTGTTGTTGTTTTTAAAAAAGATCAGCACCTAAACAAAACGGTGCTTGCCGTTCTATTTCCTCTCTGTTGTGCCTCAATTGCTTTTTAACCTAGCAGGCCTCCACTCTTGGAGGCTCACGCCACAGTTTATTAAACCATAAACCCTTCACGAGAGGGGATTAGCAGCGCAGGATCTGATCAATGAAATGTGGTTATGCCCCTGCTGCTATTATGATCTGCATAATTCTCCATTCACTGGGCTAATGAATTGCAAGCGGGTGCATTGCTGGCAAACTTGAACACAGAGGAGCTCTCCAGAAGCCAAAATCTGACACAGAGGCTGCCATTACTATTCATTGCTTTCGTTATTGATTGCGTGGGAAGAGAGATGCATAAAAACACACACACGCACCAGCACAAAAACAGAATATGGCATAACACCATTATGAGATTAGGGGAATTACTCCGAATAAAAACCCTGGCCTGTTGTGCAGGCTGTAACAGATGTGTACATGGGGGTTTCTGTTTGCAAATAACATCTAAGGAACACACTCCTAATCCCCAGCTCAGGGTTATCAATGGGGCTGAAGTGCCTCTCAGCTAGTCAGCTGGGGCACGTCCTCTGCACCCCCAGAATCCACAGGGGTGGATTTCACTTCCCATCCCGGTTAAGATTGCTTTGTAAATTAACCATTTTCAGAGCAGTAGGGATGCTAGTCTCTTTGCTGCAAGAAGCGACCAAGAGTCTTGTAAGGTGGAATGTTTAGCCTGGAGAAGAGAAGACTAAGAGGTGATAGGATATCTGTTAAGTTGTGGGTGAACGTATCAGACGACACAGCGATTCTTCAAACAGCTCTTATTTATTCACAGGCCAGAACAGAACTGGGCTGAAGGGTTCAGCCAACCTGCTTATACAGAGCTCAACTACAAGCAACAGTAACAACTTTCTGTAACTATCCAATCACTGAACGTCACTTTCAATTCCTTATTTGCATATGTGGACCTGAGTGAAAACTGTCTACAGTATCCCCTGCTGGCCCAGGTGAGAACTTCAGTACATAACAATATCCATCTTCAAATACTCAAAGGGCTGCCACATGGAAGACAGAGCAAGCTTGTTTTCTGCTGCTTCCGAGAGGAGGATCCAAGCCAACAGATTAAAATTACAAGAAAGGAGATTCCGACTAAACTTTAGGAAGAACTTCCAACTGACTCCCCCCACCCACAATTGAGTGCAAGCCTGCAGGCATGAAAGCTGTGCCTTTAAAGATCTCCATCCATTGCCGGGGGCAGGGAGAATCTGGGATATGAGGGCTCAGTTCTGCTCCAGGTGTTAATCATAGAATTGTAGAGTTCGAAGGGACCTCAAGGGTTATCTAGTACAACCCCCTGCAATGTAGGAATCAATGATGGAACAAGCTGGGTCCAATTGTTCTAGGGGGAGGGTTGTAGCTCAGTAGAAGAGCTTCTGCCTTGCATCCAAAAGGCCCCAAGTTTGATTCCAGACATCTCCAGTTAGGGATAAGAGGGGGGTGTGACGTTAACATATGAGACTGCTGGAGGTGAAATAGTTAAACAGGTTACCCAATCAGAACCCAGGGGGTGGAGTCAGAGGGACTATAAAACCAGCTCTGGGAGGGATGGAGGAGAAAGTTCGTTGGGAGTTGGGTGGTTGGTTGGAGTGGGAGTGAATTGGGATAGAGTCTGTGGGTAGGTTGAGTTAATGTAGCGAAATAAGCTGAATCAGGAACAGTTAGGGGCTAGGAAAACAAGTAAATATCTGAGAGGTGGTTTAGTGAGTGAGAGCAGGCAGCAGAAGTTAAAGGTCTGGATAGGCAACCCATGATTGTAATGGACCGATACCGTTTATGAAACCACACACTTGTTAAACTGTAATAAATAAACAAAAGTTTATGTTCCAATTTAACCCTGACTGGACTCAGTATTGTACCAGGTAGGGCCTGGGTGGTGGCAGTGAGAAATAAAGTGGTGGCACAGGGATCAATAGACGATGAAACGTCCGGGGCCCCTGTGTGATCGCCACAGGGGGCTCCCATCTAAAATCCTGGAGATGCTGCCCTTAAATATAGACCGGGGATGAGGAACCTTTTGAGCAAGGAGAGGGGGGTCCACATTTCCTTTTGGGTAACTTTCTGGGTCCACATGCCAGTGGTGAGTAGGGCTTGAAGCAAAAGTAGGAGGAGCAAAAAAAATGTGAATGTTACCATTGGATAGTAGTTTCTACATAATGCTCCTCTCTAGCCTCCACTTAGGAAAGCAGGAAGCAAGTTCAGGATAATATCCCAGATAAGCAGAAACTCTCAAGGAGGGTGCAAAGCAGGCTTGGTGAAGGGTGTGGCCTAGGGGGAGTCTCTGTGGGATGTAAACACAGGAGCAGTCAATGACAACATTCCTAGAGTGTACATGTTAGAACATGGGGAGGGATGTCTGTCCAGCAAGCAGGTAAACTTCCTGGGGACGGACTTCCTCTGCATGTGACCAGAGGTGGGTGTGGCCTCACCTGTGCAGGTAATGACAAAAGCACAGGGCAGGCAGCCATCTCTCTCTCTCTGCCATTTTCCTTCGATGAGGAAACATCTAAGGATGCTCTCTTGGCTCCCAGCCAAGAGAGGAGATAAGGACTATCTTGCTACAAGATAGATTCTAAATGTATGTAACCTTTTTAAGCTGTCTGCCTTCTGGGATCATATTGTGAACAGAACTTGAGTAAACTCTTTTACACTTTTATAAAGACTGTGTCATGTCTTGTATTTTAAGAGGGAACAAAGGGGAATTACCAGAGTAATTATTATAGAGGTTCTAGCGAACCTGTGCACACGTTACCGTTGCGAACTTAAAGGGGAATGTCTATAAACTCTGCTGATATTTTGGGAACTTGTTAGCACAAGTTGGATAAGGATATAATTAGTCAATATATTCTCTCCTGCACCCCAGAACATTCCCACAGTCTCAAGGGCCAAAAAGACAGGTCTGAAGCGCCACATTTACGTCCCAGCTGTGGATCTGTCCCAATTCACTATTCCTGTTGCTTTCAGTTTGCAAATGATACCCAACCGCATTGCGTTTCCTTTGCATCAAAATGAATGGCCCTTGCTTTGCAGTGAACAGGGTGGAATGACAACCTAATTTAATTAACTGTGCAAAATTTTGCTACAGCACTAAGCAAGACAAGGTGAAGGATTTTTTTTGTGTGTAAAAAATGAACTGCAGTAGAATGGAAACAGCACTACATGTGATATGGGGTTTAATTAAGTGTGGGGTTTCCCCCCACATTCATCTACCGAAAGCAAAGTTTCCACCAAACTTCCCGCAGAGTTCTCCTTTCTATTTGTTTCCTTTCCTTTTTGCCAGACTCCGTTCTGCAGCCCGGCAGACACAGTTGTGCTTAACTAAGGATGATGTCAATATTTAAATAGCCCATTAATTCCTACATCCAACGCTGATTGCCAGTTCCCATTCACTATTTAGCATGTCTGGGATTCACAAGTTTGCTTTTTCATCTTGCGGCGAGTTGCTGTGATTTGAGCCCCAGTTCCCACTCGCTTTGCTCAACTGTCTCCCCAGTGCTCCATAAAGAAGTCTCTTTTCATTAATACCCAAACTCACCGCATCATCATTATTATTTCTAATCAGAGCCCCATCTCTGGGGAGTGTGATTTGTCAGCATGGAGCCTGTGGCTTTGGCAAGCAGCCTGTCATCTTCGTTTGATAAGCCAACTTCTGGAAATCAATCAGTGCTCATTTGGAAACTGGGGAAAAAACACTTTCCATGGAATCCAAAAGGGTAGCAACAAGCCAGCTGGTACCTAAGGCAGAAGCAGCCCAAGTGGTTCCCTCTAGAAGTTGTTGGACCACAACTCCAATCAGTCCAAGCCAATACAACCAATGGCCAGAGATGATGGGAAAGCCTCTCCTCTTGCAAAGAGGGGAGGGATTGTGGGCGGGACCCGATGTCTGCCTCATGCAGGGGGCGTTGCCCCCTGCTCCCCCCACTCACCTGGCTGGCGCACCTCGCCCACAGGTAAGCCCCCAATCGGGTGGCTTGGTGGAGGGGGCGGGGTTTGCAGCTCAACTTGCTGCTGCGCCAACCATGCAGCCTCATTTTCCCCCTTCCCATCGCGAGTCACCCACCCTCCACTCCCTTAGAGCTCAGGGTTTTGTTTTTCTCTCTCTCTTGGCCTTGCTATGGACCTTAGGTTGGTCGCCCAGGTTGTCCAGGGGGCCTGGTAGGAATTTTTCCATTTGGCATTAGGCCTTGTGGTTTTTTCGCCTACCTCGTAGCAATCGTCACAACTTTCTTGGTATTGGTGGGTAGGTTAGGCATTGGAATGTGTTTGTGGTGTGTGGAAGGGCTAGGTGTGGCCATCGCCTATGCCTTCAATTTTGGGTATTCCGTTAAAGGAATCCGGCGGTCGTGGATCCTGTCCGATGCCTGTGTGGCAGGGGGCCATGGCAGGACCCTCGGTGACATCAGGGGAGAGCTTATAGTTGGATTAGCATCAACAGGCTCCACCTACTGGTGAATAAACCCCCCTTTTAGGCTCACCCCTCTTTGAGTGTGTGGAGTCAATTGTCGTGATCCAATGCCTAAGCCAATACCTTTTCACTTGCTGTAATCAATAAAGTTGTGGCCTTTTCTTGCCCATTAACCTTATATTACGTGTCCGTGTGTCTTCATTTCACTAAGCGGGGATCGGGTCCTCGAACCACAACTGTAATTTCCAATCAGCCCAAGCCAATATGACCAGTGACCAGGGCTGAAGGAAGTCACTGTCCAAGAAAACCTGGAGTCCACCACACTGGCTGACGTAAGATGAGAAGCTGGCAAGCCAGAAGCACAAGCCCTCCTTCAGGATCATCTCATCCTGCCTGTAGCACTCTCCCCAACTGCAAGGTCCCTCCTTACCCCAGTGAATTTCTCGGTCGCTTTGTCCCCTGTGAATTCAGGCAGAGGATAAGACCCACCCTGGTGTAGCAGTGGCAGCAGCAGCAGAAGTGGGGAACCTGTAACCCTCTAAATGCTGGAACTCTTAACTCCCATCACCACTGAACACAGGGCCATGATGGCTGTGCCTTCGTGGTCCTGATGAGGCCAATCACACATCCCTGGAGAGAGAGTTGCATAAGCAAGTGGTGGCCATTGACAAGGCCTGACAACCTAACTGATCTTAAGGGCACGCAAACAAGCAGGTGTAATCCAAGCACTGTTGCCAAGCTTAAGGAGCTCAAGCTGATGTGTGTGGTAAGTTCCCTCCTCATTTTTCCTCACAGATGTTAGATGTGCAGCAGCACGGATCATTCCGTTTGTAACCAACGGAACCAGTTCTGTTCCCAGGGTATTCAGCCACCCAAAAGATGGTTGGTAGAGGTGTTGCTGAACTCAGAATGGCATGATCTTTGCTGAGGTAGCATGTGGTCTGATTGGCTGTATAGTTCTGATGGAAGTTTTCTATCTATATATCTTTGGTTGAAGGTCTTGCTGCTGCGTACAAAGCTTGGCCTAAGAAAGACAAACACTTCTCCGTTCCTTTCTCCTCAGCTTATGAGGAGAAATTTGCTTAGTAGCAGGTTTATTTTCCCTCTGGACGTCCTCTGTGTTATTTAAGTGACTTTGCTAACAACAACCCAGTGAGGTAGATTAGGCCGAAAGGTAGTGGCTGGCCCAAGCTCACCCACTGACCTTCTTATCTGAACTCTTGTCTCCCAGGTCCAAATTGAACACTCTAACCACTAAACCATGCTGCCTCTTAAATTGGCCTGATAGCGGCCATATAAGCCATATCTCGCCTATGCCAGTAAACCAGGTGTTCCTCAGCTGACATGGCACTCTCAACACAGAACAGCTCCCCGCTTATTAATTCATAACCAGATGTCAAACTTTGTGGTTTGCCATGGTTACATATTAATCTCTCTTTAATTGGCCTGATTTCCAGACAGTTGTACAACTGATGGCTCCCAGCAGGTTTTTGAAACTTCATTCTGGCATGGGGGTGGGGGGGAGAAACAAAGTCGCCTTGCGATTAACTAATCCGCCATCTTCTTCCACTCCTTCCTCTTCTCTCTCATCCAGCAGTTAAAAACATTTGAGCCTCCTCCTGAGTACAAAAATGAAGTCATTTGTCAGTTCAGGTGTCAAGAGCAAAATGACTTTTCAAATCTCTTGGCATTTGATTCCACGTCCTTCTGTTCTCTCTGGCTGAAATAACTTTTAACATGAGAAACGGCTGCTCAGTCAATGTATTAAAAAAAAAACCGAGACATGCAGAAGCTCACCTCTCCTTGCAAGAGACATTTCTTTTAAAATAAAATAGCTCCGGGGAGAATGATGGTTGAGACATGCCATCCATCGAGGATCCCTTGTGGCGCTCCAATCCACTCCAAAGAACTTCTGGTGGTGTCAGATTCCCTCTCTCTGAAATATATAGCTCTGGCACCACAACTCCCCCCTGTCCCCCCCCCCCGTACTTCTCCGTAATCTTTGGGGTAATCGCTGCAGAGTCTCCGAAAACATTTTGCACCCCTCCTCTGGATCCCATTGACAAGGCAGTTAAACACCCAGGCAGTTCCATTCATTACTGCCAAGATATCCCCAGCTTCCCACCTAGGTGCAAGCAGAACTGAATGCTGCCCTCTGTGTACTCCTTCCCTCCAGATCTAGTAATTTTGAGGTCCAACAGGCGCTGGAACCACTTTGCATTTCAGCTTCCTTGAAAAGGATGAGCCGCCAGGCCAAATGAAGGATAGAGTCTTCAAGTCCAGAACGATGCGATGGAGATGAGGAGGAGCTACATTGGTGATTCATAACACAAAGGTAGAAAACCTCAAGGCTCTGTGGGCCAAAGGTGGCCCCCAAAGCTTCTTCATCTGGTCCTTAGGACTGTTCCCCCAGGCCACTCATCCTCCCTAGCCACACCATCCCCAACCCTGCTTTGCAGCCTCATCGAGTGCTTTTGCTTGGCTGGGATGTGTGCTTTAACTCCTGACCTACAAGTAAGAACATGAGAAGAGCCTCCTTGATGGATCAGACCAACCAGAAAGCCTTTATAGCAACCCACAAACAGGAATGGAGCAACTCTCCCCTTCTGCGGTTTTCAGCAACGGGCACTTCCAATGGATGGCTGAGCCTCACAATATGAACAGCATTAAGAGGAATTTAGAGATTTATAGCGGCATTAAAACTTGCTCACAAGTCTCTTTTTTTTTCTCTCTCCCCCTTTTTTTTTTTAAAAAAAATGATATTTATTGAAAATTTTTGAATTACAAAAGAAAACAAAGAAGAAAAAGAGAAAGAAAAAACAAAGAAAAAACAAACCACAGTCAAACAATACAGATTAATAAAAATAAAAATCAAAAAATAGCACAACACGCTCAAAAAATAAAAATATACCACAAACATTTAAAAACAAATCCAATATTCTCAAATCCTTAACTGTCATTACCTTCTTTCTTTGACCTCCTCTTCCTCCCTTTTTTTGTATCCTGGTTATTAATTGTCGCAGCAAATCCTTTTCATACTTCATAATATTCTGTCATTACTTTACCTTACTCTATTTTAATCTTATCTTACTATAAAAACCTTAAAGCTTAAAACTTAAATCTTATTTTTACCAATTTCTCATAACCATAATATTCTTACATAATTCTTTAAACATTTTTGCTAAAGCCAAATAATTTCGTTCCAACATTTTTCTAACATTCATCAATTTTATAAAACAATCCTAATAAAAAAGTAACAAAAAAGAAACAATCCAATCTTCATCCAGTGTCTCTTCCTCCTGGTCCCGGGTTTTGTCAGTCCTTTCTATCTCATCAATCTAGCGCATTAACCTGGTGTCAGGGAACTGCCATCGGAAGGAAGGGAGGTGAAAGGGCTCACACAGGTTGGGAGAGACTCAGCAGCTGAAGAGGGAACCAGTAGGGGGAGAGGAGCTGAGCTGAGGGAAAGTGAGCTGGAGGGATGGCTCAGAGACACTTCCAGCGAAAACAGTGGGGAGGTTTCAGGACCTCCTGTAGGAACACCCACTCCTCGCCGGAAACTGTCACGCAGAGAGTCCAGAAGACGTGTTTCCGTTAAGGAGCTTTTATGTTGGAAGCGATTCCAAAGCAACCACTGTCGGAATCTGCTAGTGACTAGAGGAGCCATGTCTGAAGGGCTCCGTCACAGACAGAGGTTTGTGGACTTGAACAAACTCTGAGGGGATACTATTTTACGCACAAGCAGCTCATCATCCCATCACAGCATTCCGACAGTGCTTGAAAGCAGCTTGTGCAGGAGAAGGCATCATGAGCAACCCAGCCGGAACCGGAGAAGCAGGAGCTGGAGCGGGTCCAAGCCTGGAAGAAAGGTACCGGGTGTTGGAGGTCCAGCTAGCGCTGCAGACGGCGAGGCTTGAGGAGAGGAGGGCTCAGGATGCAGACAAAAGGGGAAAGCCACCCAGCTCGCCAGAAAGGTACCAGGATTGGTGCAGAAGTTTGGGGGGGAGCCCAAAGACTATCATGGCTTTCGGACAGAGATGCAATATGCCCTCAATCTGCAGTTTGATGAATTCCCTGACGAGGAATCACGAGTGGCTTTCGTGATTGGGCATCTTGAAAAGGGGCGAAAGACTGGGTTAGACCCCTGATGGCAGCGAATAGTGACGTCCTAAAGGACACGATGAAGTTCTTTCGCGCCATGGATCTGATGTTTTCCAGCGATATTGAACAGGGAGTGGTGCGCAGACAGTTAATGGCTTGCAAACAGGGGAGCCGATCTGTCCGTGAGTACTGGACTGAGTTCACCATGCTGGTTCACAGATTGGGGTGGGACTTATCGGCGGAACCCATTCAAATGCTCTTTGAAGAAGGGCTTTCTTCGGCTGTGAAAGACGAACTTTCCCGGGCGCCCAGGGCGGAGTCTATGGACCAGCTGACCAAATCAGCGCTGACCATAGGAGCGCGCCAGGAGGCGAGAGCATTGGAGAGGCGGGAAGGGAAGGGGGAACGTTGGAAGGAGTTCCGCATTCCAGACATTCCAGAGCCAACTTTCCCGCCGGCAGAGCCGATGGAAATCGGAACAGCGCGCGCGCGCAGTTTCAAAGCCCAGTGAGGGGGAAAGAAGGAGGGAAAACGCGCCCGGAAATGCTATCTCTGCCAACAGCCAGGTCACTTTGCCAGAGTCTGCCCCCAGAGGAAGGAATGGCAAGGGATGGTAGGAGCTGTGGAGGGAAGAGAGGAAGAAATACCGGAGCAAGTAAAAGCCAACGCCTGGCTGCCACCGTCGGGCACAGCAGCCAGGCCAAAGAGCAGTGAGAGTGCCCACGCCAGAACCTCCTAAACCCGCCCTAGTGATAGAAGTGGCGCTAGAGCTGCCAAACGGACACCCTCTAAAGATAAAGGCGCTGTTGGACTCAGGCAGCTCCTGCAATTTCATGAGCAAAGAGTTTGCAGCTGAACACCAGATACAGACGATCCCTTTAAGCAACCCCCTGCAGGTGACCACGATCGATGGCAGGGAGCTGTTGGGAGGAGAAGTCAGCTTGCAGACCGTCCCAATGATAATGAAGGTGGCAAGGCACACCGAACTGATAGCGTTTAATGTGGCCACCTTGGGAGGAGCTCCCATTATATTGGGGATGAGCTGGCTAGCGTTACATGATCCGCTGGTGGGCTGGCATCAGAGAGTGGTTTCTTTTGGTTCAGCACATTGCTTAGAACACTGCAAAGAGGGAAAGGGTTTGGCAGGGGCCCAAGCCACCCTAGCAGGGACTGAAGTAACGGAGAACGTGAAGGTACCACGACAATACGCAGATCTCCGCGACGTCTTCAGCGAAAGGAAGCTGACCAACTACCCCCGCATAGACCCTTTGACTGTCAAATCAATTTACTCCCTGGGGCACAGCTCCCTGTAGGCAAGCTGTACGCCATGTCAGACAGAGAGATGCAGGAGCTAAGAGAGTTCATTGACAAGAACCTGAAGAGAGGGTTCATCAGAGAGTCCAGGGCGGTGGGGGCAGCCCAGTGTTTTTGTGGATAAAAAACACGAACAAGCTGAGGCTGGTGTGTGACTTCAGGGCCTTAAATGCAGTGTCAGAACCAGTGGCCTTCCCTATGCCCAGGATTGACGACATTTTGACAAGGGTGCGGAAGGGAAAGATTTTCACAAAGCTGGACCTAAGGGGGGCGTACAACCTGGTACGAATAAGGAAGGGGGATGAATGGAAAACCACCATGTTCACCCCTTTAGGGGCATTTGAATATTTGGTTATGCCCTTCGGCCTACAAGCAGGCTCCGCATGCTTTCAATCGTTTATGAACCACGTCCTGGGGCCTTTGCTTTACAAGAATTGTGTGGCCTTTTAGACGACGTGTTGGTGTATTCTGAGAATGAGGAGCAGCATGTGAGAGACGTCAGAGAAGTGTTGAGCAGGCTGCAAGCCAACCAGCTGTGGGTGAAACTGGAGAAGTGTCAGTTTCATACCAAGGAGGTGGAATTCCTGGGGTATCGCCTGTCAGACAAGGGATTGGCCATGGATCCCGGCAAGGTCCAGGCGGTGCTGGAATGGAAAACACCCAAAACAAGGAAGGATGTGCAGAGGTTCCTAGGATTTGGGAACTTCTATCGTAAGTTCATCCGAAACTTTGCCCACCTGACGGCGCCCATTACGGACTGTCTCAGCAGTAAGAAGAAATTCGTTTGGACTGAGGAGGCGGAGCGAGCATTTGAGGAACTAAAAAGGGCCTTCGCCTCGGAACAACAACTCCTGCATGTGGATTTACAAAAACCGATGAGAGTGGAAACTGACGCATCAGACAGAGCGATTGGGGCGGTGCTGCTGCAGCCAGGGAAGGAGGAGTCAGAGTGGAGACCGTGTGCTTTTTTTTTCGCGAAAGCTGAACAAATCCGAGAGGAACTACACGGTGTATGACCGAGAACTACTAGCCATTCATGAGGCGTTCCGGAGATGGAGGCACCTGCTAATTGGCGCACAACATAAGGTGCAAGTGTGCACTGACCACAAGAACCTAGAGTATTGGAGGACGGCACGAGTGCTCAACCAACGGCAAGTGAGATGGGCCCAGGAGTTCTCCAAATTTAACTTTGAGATTGGTTACGTGCCAGGCCCAGAGAACATCAGGGCGGACGCTCTCTCACGCAAACCTGAATATTTGGAAGGGGAGGGAGCACCCGAAGAGAGACATGTCATTCCAGAGGACCGCTGGGTGTGTGGGGCGGCATTGGTGGGACAAAGAGAACTGGTAGAGGAAACAGAGAATGATGAATACGCCCAGAATAAGCTCAGAGGTCTTAGGGGTGAGGGAGAGGAACCAGGGGTTTCGAGGAAAGAAATGGAGCTTTGTATTACAAAGGGGCACTGTATATCCCTGAAGGAGACTTAAGGGGAGGGTACTCAAGCAGTTGCACGACAGCCCTACGGCGGGGCATTTTGGACAACACAAAACCATGTGGTTGGTCACCAGGGAATTTTGGTGGCCTAAGGTGAGGGAAGATGTACGTGAGTATGTAAGAGGGTGCGAGCAATGCCAGCGAGCCAAAGGGGAAAGGCGGGCGCCGGCGGGGCTATTAGAACCCTTACCAACCCCAGAACGACCTTGGGAGGCAGTGTCGATAGATTTTATGACTGATCTGCCGAAGTCCAAAGGGAAAACAGCCATCATGGTGGTGGTAGACCTACTAACAAAGATGTGCCACTTTGTAGCTTGCTCGCATGCAGTCACGGCAGAAGAGACAGCGAAGTTATTTGTAGAACACATTTTTAGGTTGCACAGGGTGCCATTGAGGGTGGTCTCAGACCGAGGAAAACAATTTACTTCCAGGTTCTGGAGGAAGCTCATGAGCTTACTGCAGGTGGAGGTCAATTTTTCGACTGCCCGGCACCCTGAAACCAACGGGCAGGCGGAAAGAGCAAACGGTGTCCTCCAGCAATACCTGAGGTGTTATGTCAATGACAGAGAGAATGACTGGGTAGAAAAGTTGGCGCTGGCGGAATTTGCCTACAACAATGCCGAGAATGTGTCCACAGGGATGAGCCCCTTCTTGGCTAATTATGGGTGTCATCCCAGGGCTTTCCCAGGGGAGATGGGGAGAGATGGAGCGTCCCGGCAGCCGAGCATTTTGTGGAAGAAATGGAAGCAATCCATCGTCAGCTCCAACTCAACTTAGAAAGGGCGAAGGAAGAATACAAGAGGCAGGCAGACAAGAACCGAAGGGAAGGTGAAACCATAAGGGTGGGAGATAGGGTGTGGCTGTCAACCCAAGGGTTGCCGTTCAAAGGAGGTTGTAAGAAATTAAGACCCAGGAGGTTGGGTCCCTTTGAGGTCATTCAACAGGTCAACCCAGTGGCTTTCAGGCTCCGGTTACCCAACCACATGAAACTGCACCCAGTATTTCACAGGTCGTTACTGTCACCGTACGAAGGGGGACGAGAAGGGATGGCCACTCGGGGACCGGTCATAGAAGAAAGAGAATGCAGCAGCCATGTGGCAGAAATCCTCGACGCCAGGTGGAAGGGGGATCAGGTGGAGTATTTGGTAGCGTGGGAAGGAGAACCGGAGTCAGAAAACACTTGGGTAATGGCCGAAGATATCAATGACGAGGTATTGATAGAAACGTTCCATCAAAGGTTCCCAAGGAAACCTCAGCCTGTGGAGAGGTTCCGGAGGGAATACTTTGGGACCACTGATGAGGAGGAGGAGTTGGAAGGATTCCCGGACTCGGAAGGGGAAGGAGATGGACTCTGAGGAGGAGGAGTACTTCGAGACCAGGAACCGCAACAGGTGGAGAGAAGTGTTCGAGACATCGGAAGATGAAGGAAGTTCATTCCGGGGTTTTGCCTCCTCACCGCCCGTAGAGGAGGGGGCGAGAGGGGTGAAAGGGGCCCTGGAGGGGAGGTGGATGTCAGGGAACTGCCATCGGAAGGAAGGGAGGTGAAAGGGCTCACACAGGTTGGGAGAGACTCAGCAGCTGAAGAGGGAACCAGTAGGGGGAGAGGAGCTGAGCTGAGGGAAAGTGAGCTGGAGGGATGGCTCAGAGACACTTCCAGCGAAAACAGTGGGGAGGTTTCAGGACCTCCTGTAGGAACACCCACTCCTCGCCGGAAACTGTCACGCAGAGAGTCCAGAAGACGTGTTTCCGTTAAGGAGCTTTTATGTTGGAAGCGATTCCGAAAGCAACCACTGTCGGAATCTGCTAGTGACTAGAGGAGCCATGTCTGAAGGGCTCCGTCACAGACAGAGGTTTGTGGACTTGAACAAACTCTGAGGGGGTACTATTTTACGCACAAGCAGCTCATCATCCCATCACACCTGGCAAACTTATGTCCAAGGCCCTTAAGTCCCTTCCATGTCCCTTCCGCAGCTCTTCTTCATATTTATAGCTGTATTTTCCTTTATCTCCTGCTCCTTTCACTCTTGGGAACTCCAGCTTGACAATGCTTTTGACCCATCTCGACAAATCAGCCCCTTTTCCATAGTCCAGACTAAGCTCCATGTGGTATTTAAGAACATGTTTCAAAGTCCCTCCAAAATTAAGAGCCCCCACAACCCCAAACATCTCACGGCCCATTGCCAGACTTGAAAAGTCCAAACCTCCATGCATAGGGGGGTCTATCCAACCCCCCATTTCCAAACCAAACCAAACTTTATCTTTCCAAATCTGGCTTTTACCAAGTTCATTTGTCAAATCCAAGAATTCGTGTTCCTGCTGGGCCACAGCTCCCTCCATCTCTGGCGCCCAAGATTCAGAAACATCCTCTTCCTTCATCTGTTCTGTCAGGGCACACTCCTGATCTGATTCCTGGGTGGGCTCTATATAATTTCCCACTGCCTGTCCAAAATTTCTGATCGCATCAGTCATAAAATCCGTCTTCTCATGTAGCTGTTCCAGTAGGGCACTTGTTTTACAGAAAGCACACAACAGAGCTTCTGAATACATTGTCCTGCAAGGTCAGAAGTCTATTCCCACGATCGTAATCTGTGACAGCTGCAAACTCCCTGATTCAGAATTGGTTACAGTTTCACAGGCTCCCTCTAGGGGAAGAACTTCTGTTTGTTCTTTTCTTTTAAAAACAGATCTAACAACAAAGTTTCCTTTTTCAGATATTTTGTCAATATTTGTTCCTTTAAGATGCGAAGGGGAACAATGGAGTCACTATGTTTCTCTTCTTTTAGCTATCTGTCAGAAACGTTTGTCTCTGGTCAATGAGCTTCAAAAAACGTCAGTCCTGACACCCCGCTCCAGGATCAAGACGGTGGAAAATTACTTTGCTTTACACTCACTTCTGCAGGTTTAAACAGTCTGAAAAAAATCCCCCCATCTTCTCCTGCTTCCGAAGGGGGTTCAACAATTTAAAATGATGAAAGTTGATCCTTTACAAGTGATTTTCAGAACTCTAGTTTGCCATGTCTTTGCTTTAATCTATCTACAAAGAAACGGAAGGCTGACTTCCTGTTTAGACCTTCCCGTTTCAGTGCCAAATTAAAATAAACTTTTAAGTCCAATTTTCCTTTCAGCTCACAAATCCTTATTTAAAGTCCAATTGTCCGAAATTTAAGTACTCACGGGTGATTGTTTTAAAAGCCAAATTGTCCCAGGAAAAAGGCAGCGCTCTCCGGCAACGGCTGTGCGGCTTCACTCCACGGAAGAAGCAGTTGACTCTCAGCACCGCGCCACTTCCCCCTCTTTGCTCCGGAGCCCGTTAGTGGGTTCCTTTGCAGGTTGGGGGGGGTGCTAAAGGTGCCCGCCGAGTCCCATGGTCACAGGCTTCATCCGCCTGTGATTTTTGAATGGGTCCCCACTTCACCGTAGCGGAAAAGACCCGTTTCCCGTGGAGCTGGTCCCTCCAGATCAGAGGGAGTCCGCCATTACCGATGGCACCACCCCGGAAGTCTCCAAAACTTGCCCACAAGTCTCATGAGGAGACTTGATGCTGTTCTGTGTTACCTTCGCCATCAAGACAGCATCTCTATATTCATAAACCTTTTTTCAAAGTACACAGGGAAATGTGACATTTTCAAACCTTATCCATAGTTGTTCATCTCTGTCCTTTGATTGGCCTGATATAATAATAATAATAATAATAATAATAATAATAATAGCTTATTATTTATACCCCACCCATCTGGCTGGGTTTCCCCAGCTACTCTGGGCAGCTCCCAACAGAATATTAAAAACACCAAACATTAAAAACTTCCCTAAACAAGGCTGCCTTCAGATGTCTTCTAAAAGTCAGATAGTTGTTTATTTCCTTGACATCTGATGGGAGGGTGTTCCACAGGGCCACCACCGAGAAGGCCCTTTGTTTGGTTCCCTGTAGCTTCACTTCTCACAGTGAGGGAACCGCCAGAAGGCCCTTGGAGCTGGACCTCAGTGTCCGGGCTTAACAATGGGGGTGGAGATGCTCCTTCAGTAAAACCAAGCCAAACCATGGCTTAGTGCTAAGTCAAACCAAAAGTTGTGACTGCTTCACTCCTGCTTCTGTCCTGTTTATGCTGCACTGCCCGCAGCTAAAGCTATGTTTTGGTGTGATGTTGCCTCTGAACCTGGGATCATGGTTTGTCTCACTCCAGAGAGAAACCATGTGCTATAGCCAGGGTTCGTTCTTGGCTTAACACTCATGGGTTAACACTCAACTAAAGAATCATGCCTTAATGCTCAACTAAAGAATCATGGCAAGAAAAATTGATGGACTATGCAGAACTGGCAAAACTGACACACAAGCTATGGGACAAGGATAACTGTGACTTTAAAGATGAATGGGAACCCTTTACAAAGTATTTGAAGACACAACAAAGTGAACTGGACTCTTTGGCTGGTTTTGAATAAACATTGACAAACTTTTTATTGATAATAATCAGTTAAATAGTTTGATGATTTATACAACTGTGTAACATGCAGAAAACAGCATTTTTAGAGAAAACAAAGACTGGAACTGAGGGAAGTCGGGGGGGTGGGGGGGGGTTCTGTGGGGGGGGAGGGAGGGGGAGGGAGGGAGGAAAACGGGGGGGGGGGAAATAAGGATGATATGTTTATGGGACTTCCGGG